TGGGGCAACAGGGGCTGCACCTGGCTGCTGGAAAGGCCGCGGCTGTGATTGAGCAGCATGCCCCTGCATGGGCTGATAGAGAGACTGTTGTTGCTGCTGGAACTGCCCCTGTCTGGGCTGATATGGTGGCCGCTGGAAGCCTGGTGGTCCCTAGGGAGCTGGTGGTTTGGAATTTGCCCCAGCCCAGGAGAAGTTAGGATGCTGGCGCCACCCCTCATTGTACGTGTTGCTGTAGGGGTCATTGCGCCTGACATTGTTGATGAAGTTCACCTGCTCCTGGGGTGTGGTTGATTCCTTCATCGCCTGGCAGTCCTCCACCGTATGATGGGTGCTTTCGCACCATTGGCAGAGCATCGCCTGCTGCTGTCCGGTCCCTGGAATCATACCAGAACGATCGATAGCTGAAACCAGCTTCGATACCACCTGCACCAAATCAGATGACTGGGTGCCCACAGCATGCACACCCCGTCCAGGTGCTCGTCGCGATCTCCTGGCAGTGCCCCAGTCATAACCGTTCTCCGCCATCTCCTCAAAGAGTTGATTCAGCTGTGGCGGGGTTTTGGTCAGCATGTTCCCGCCACAAACCGAATCGATCAGCTGCTTGTCCTCCGGGAAGAGGGCGTGATAGAAGGTGCCCACCTTGAACCCATCATTGAAACCATGATTGGGACACCTGAGAAAGAGGCTGGTGTACCTCTCCCAAGCATCCCTAATGGTCTCATCCTCATCCTGAGAAAAATGTGTAATCTGCTTCTGGAGATCAGCTGTCTTGGATGGAGGATGGTAGCGGGTGAGGAACTTGTCCGCCAGGTTGGCGAACGTGGTGATGGAGCCCGGAGGTCGAGTGTCTAGCCACTCCTTGGCCTGCCCCTCCAGAGTGAATGGGAAGTACCTCAGCTGGATGACATCTGCTGGTACCCCATTGATCTTGATTCCATCGATGAGCTCGTGGAATAGCCTGAGATGTGATCGAGGGCACTCTCCCTCCTTACCACGGAACACCACTGAACCGCGCAGCATGGTGATCACTGAGGTGCTCACCTCAAAGTTGTTGGCTGGGACATGAGGGTGTTGAATGGCTGACCTCATGTCTGCAGCCCTAGCGGTCCAGTAGGATCCCATGGTCTGCTCCTCGGGGATCACATCACGGTTCTCTGGATCAGCCATCTCGCCTTCTTCTTCTTCTAACTGCAGCTGTGATAGCTCCTCCTCCGCAGCCAGTCGTGCCTTTAGAGCCCGCTTGAAGTTCCTGCAAGTTCGTTCAAGCTCCTGGTCTAACGGCAGTAGATCTCCCGACTGGCTACGGGTCATGCACTACCTGCACACAGTCAGCAGAAACAACCCGTGAAGGCACACAGGTGGAAAAGAAAAATGCAATAAAGAAAAAGCTAGAGTAACAAATTATCACGTTTCCCCAATAACTTAGAGGGTCCCCGGCAACGGCGCCAAAAACTTGACACGCCAAAACACAACACCAAACTGCGACCAAGTGTAATCGCAGTCCGGGAATGCAGTAACAGGCAAGTTTAATTATCAACCCGGGGTCTAGATCTACTGCTTACTCCGTGATTCTCTATTATCTAGCAAACTAGTTCGAGTGATTGTTGTGAAAAGTAAAAGCAACAAGAAAGCAGTAAATTGTTCGGTTTCTAAAGCAGGCAAGAGTCACTCGGGATTGAGTCCCCCTAGCCCCTAAGTTAGGTTCAATTGCAATTCCCTGGGTTGATTTACTGTTGATTAGACTGCGGAAGATCCGACAGTAGCTTGGAATCTCTTAAGCTGACCAAGCCCTCTCAGTTTAACTACCCGGCAGACGACTAGTCTTCACCGGGATAGAAAGCTGAGGCTATGAACACAGAACTCCACTACTGGCGCCAAGAACACCAGTACAAAGCAGTAAACTGGCTAACTCTCGTATAGCCAATCTCCTACTATCGAATGAAGAGGCTCTAACAACCTAATCAGATTCTATCTATCTCAGGTTGCAGCAGAAATTGAGAAAAGCTGATCAGACTCAAATCAATTCATTAAACATGCGTCATTCGATTAAAATCAAACAGTAATATCATCCCAAGTCATTACAATCAAATCCCTAACACAAGGAACTAGGGTTCTTCATACCCAAGTGAGAGAAGGGTTCTACTCCATAGAGAGAGAAGTGAAAACAAGAATCGGATTAGTCATACTCATAACGATGAGGATAATCTGCTCCGGGACGATGATTTCCACTCCTATGACGATCTCCAAGCTCGATTTGATGAAATCCAGCTCTAAGACAGCTTCTAGGATGTGTTCTTCGCACTTTCTCTCTCTAGGGCTCTGTTTTTGCTCAAAAAACACGATTCTCTCCCTTTTGGCTCGGAATAGGCTCTAAAACCAGGCTTTCCCGACTCGCACGGCCAGGGTGCACGGCCGTGCATATCACCATTCTGGCCGTGCAACTCAAAACGCAGCGTGTCATTTAGTTCGGCCTCAGGCTTCTCGCACGGCCAGGGTGCACGGCCGTGCGATCTTCATGGCCTGCCCGTGCGTGGCCTCGGCGTAAAGCGCACGGCCAGATTGCTCACGTGCACGGCCGTGCAGCCTCCCTGGTCTGCCCGTGCAGCTCCCCAAAACCCTCGCCATTCGCCCGTTCTTCGTCCAATCGACCCCAGACTCGCTCCTAAGCCTTCATTCACGTACTAGGACTTGAAATATCACAAACAAGCACAACCTAGCGTGAAATCGGCCTAAAACACGAGAATCAACACCTCAAACGGTGTAAGAACGGGGGTAAAAACATGTGTAAATGACGGTCTATCAAGCGGCGGTGTCGAAATCTTGCTCAACTTGGTCGCCACCCAATTGAAGACGATCGGCAGCTCCGATCGGGTCATCAGGTTGGAAACTGACCACCCTCTCCACCCTCCGCACCGCCAACATGGAAGGTAGGTAGTCCCAATTTCCATCTTCCCCCACGTTTTATTAATTAATTCATCATTAGGTCAATTTGAGATTGGGAAACTTGGGTTTAATTGTGGAATTGTTATGCAACTGAGGGAGAATACGCGACTTGTTGGGAAGGAGACTGTCGTTCAAGGACAACTACTTCGACGTGGTGGTATCGACGGTGTTCCTCCATATGGTGGGGAAGGAGTATGGACACCGGATGGTGGAGACGGCGACAGAGAGGATGCGGGTTTTGGGGGAGATGGTTTGGGTCATGAAATCCGACGGGATGGGTGTGGTGCGGGACCTGCTTTACGTGCCGGAGTACGTGAGGCGGCTGCAAGAGCTGAAGATGGACCCTCTCGGTTCAGAGTAATGTCTGGTGGCGGCAAAGTTGACCCGGGACACCACTAAAGCACCATGTATCCGCCACTGGTTGGTTAGGATTTAATTGATTTTATTTATTTTTATTAATTATTTTAATGACATGGATACTAACGGGGCTATTGATTGGACCAAACTAACAGAATTTTAGATGGAGATCGACGAAATTACCTTAATGTTATTAGTCCAAACAAATGTTACTGAAACGTGCAAAATTAAAGGTTTGTTATCATTTTGTACAAAGTGAATAGTTTTATGAGTCCAGATCCTGTGACTAGGGGGTGCTTAGTCACTTGACTAAGCCCCTCCTAGCCCTTGGATCTAGATGGATTGATCTAATGGTGAAATTTAGAGAAGAAATAATTAAATAGTGGGAGGGGCAATCTTGGAATTATAATAAATGCATTTAATTTTTTTTCCTCCAATCTTCCTTTTCTGCGTTGCTAATCTCAGCCATGAAAGAGAGAGAAATGCAGCAGTGGGGAGAGAAGGACGACGAAGGTGAAAGAGAGGGGGGCGAAAACGACGATGGAGAGGGAGAATGGAGATCTCGATGGCGCCGGCAAAGACGAAGAGAGGGAAAGGAGAAGGCGAAGAAGAGAGAGAAAGCAGATCTGGTGGAGAGAGAGACGATGGTGGAGGAGAGCGTCGACGACAATGGAGGAGAGAGAGGCAGCGCGGCGATGGAGAGAGAGAGAGAGGTGGTGATGACAGTAGAGAGAGTCGGCGGTGGCAGCGGTGGAGAGAGAGTCAACGGTGGCGACAACGGTGGAGAGAGAGGGAAGAACAGTGATTTGTAATGCAAGTGTTGTCGGTTTGTATTGTTAGTATTTTTGTACATAATGTCAGTGTGATTTGTATGTTTTGTAAAAATGACAAACATGGTGCACAAAAATAACAAAGCTTACAAACATTACAAAAGAAACCGACAAACATTATAAAAGTAATAAACCTTGTAAACATTACAGAAGAAATCGACAAACATTACAAAGCATACTAACATTACAAAATAACACTACTTACAAATATAAATCGATAAAATTGTATTACAAATCAATGAATACAAAGTATACAAATCATAACATAAAAGTATACAAACTAGAGCAACAAATATTATAAATCAAAATATATACAAATTAGTCAGGTAAACATTACAAACACAACAAACTAAAATAAGAAAGTAAAATGATAAACGATACAAACCGAATTGGTATAAACAATACAAATTGAACTTATAAACATTACACTATAGGTTGACAAACATCACGAATTCAACATTGTTGCCGGAAAATCATCCACCACCGTCTCTGGTTGCCGGAAAACTCCTCTGCCGTTGTCGGAAAAGTTGACAAGAAAACTCTCTCTCTTAGCTGTCACTTTGGAGGTATGGGGCAAAATAAAAAGGCCGCCGGCGGGAGGGGCAAGGGATGAGGGGGAAAAAAAGTCATCGACGGGAGGAGGGGCAAGGGGTAGGTGATTTTTATTATTTTAAGTATTAAATAAATAAATTATGTAATTACCAACTTATTCTTTATTAAAGTAAATTAATTTAAGCCATTAAATTTTAATGAAGCTCAATGACTAAGATTGACTTAATTATGTGATTAAGAGACCCCTTAGTCACCTAATTTTATCCCTAGTTTTATAACCATTTATAATGATTGATGTTTTTGTTCGATGACAAGAAACTTCACTCTTTATTTAATCGGAAACCATATCCACTTACAGCACCCAAGTTCGCACTTGTTCCCAATGGCAGCCTCCCGCTTCGGCACTTCCCTTGCCCCACCTCCTCTTACAGGAAGTACAGCCGCGTTGCCGGCGACAAGCTCAACCATACACTTTCCGTCCTCATCGTGGCGTCTCTTTGTCCAATTTAACTGCGCCAATTCGTCGCCCCGGGCCCATTCTCCCACTCTCGAAGCTCTAATTTCGTCTTCCTCGGTGCGACCTCAGATAACGGGTAGGTCTCGGGCGATTTTGAATGAGGAATCTGTAGTAACGGAGGAGATCAGCGGTGGCTTCTCTGGAAGTAGACTGAAAAAGGAAATCCGGCCGTGCGAGTTATACGTCTGTAACCTCCCGAGGAGCTGCGATATTCCGCAACTCGTCGAAATTTTCAAATCCTACGGGACAGTTGTCTCCGTCGAGGTACTCCTAAACTTCTTCAGCTTTGAACCACTCTTTTCAATTCTGAATTTGAGTGAGGAATTCCATATGATTCAATTTGATGATCCATTTGCCATCAATTGATCTGGAAAGCCTTGGCTGAATAGCAGAGAATTGAGACCCATTTTGACTTGCGTAGAAATTTGTATTGAAATAGATGAATTGCTGCAGGTTTCCAAGAACCCTGAAACTGGGGTAAGTCGGGGTTGTGGTTATGTGACAATGGGTTCCCAAAGTTGCGCCCGAAAAGCAATGTGTTCGTTGGATGGCTCCGTAAGTGTATATAACTTGTGCTGTCTGTGGACTTTTAATTTAAGCTCAATCCTTTGCGTCAAGGTTCTGGCCTGAACTTATGTTTCTTGCTTGATTGTAGGACATTGAAGGAAGGGAAATGCGAGTTAGGTTTTCAGTCGACATGACTTCCGGTAGGAGACTAGAGAGAAATGAGGAGGTCATGAGTGCATCGCCCTCGAAAACCCTAATCTATGAGAGTCCATACAAGTTGTACGTGGGCAATCTAGCCTGGACAATAAGACCAGATGAGTTGAGGAAAAAGTTTAGTGAGTTTGGGAATGTGGTCAGTGCGAGAGTGTTGTATGACCGTAAGGGAGGAAAAAATCGTGCTTATGGGTTTATATCCTTCTCCACTTCAGCAGAACGTGAGGCTTCACTGTGTTTGGACGGTACAGTTAAGTCTGATATCTGAATATTTAGGTTGTGAAGCTAGCTCATTGGTCTTCTTCGCTCATTCCTTGGATTTTCTTTTCTTTATTTACTTTCAGGACTTTCATGGTCGGGTGTTAGTTGTTAGAAAAGGTGTTGACAGACAGGACCTTTGAGCCAGGATTTTTGTTGACAGCCTGGAGACGAGACGATCAGTAGTTGTTGTTTCATTAAGGAGCTATGATTGAAGCATGCAGATCCCTATCAGTAATGCTACCCGTGACAATGAATTGCTGGTGTCGTTTCACAGTATTTAACCCAGCTCTTCTGAGGTCGAACCCCCTTCAAACAGTTTTGTGTAAGTGAATCATTATCTCTAGTTCAGTTGTCGACTCCCGAGCATTTATCTACATATACTATTGTTACGGGAAGCTTGCTGGTTGAGTACTCATTGTGTCTTCGATTGTTCTAGCCTACAAATCGTGCGTGATATAGTGATTGTACTTCCATTTTGTCCATAGACATAATGAATTAGATTCTTATCTTCCTAAACAAATAATTAGCCATAATATACTAAATGACAGGTTCGGAACCTTAAGCTAAGATGTTTTTAACTAATTTGAGACCTAAAATTAATAGTTGAGCACTTCTACTATGTTTCAAATTACAACTTGAATTTATACTATAATCGTTAAATGTACAAATTGAAATTGTATTATAAGCGAATTTGTATCTTTATGTTATGATACAATTTAAAGGGTAACTTGCAAGTTGGTCACTGTACTTGCTAAAAAATTTCACATATACCATTAAAAATATTTTATTCCATTTGGTCACTGACCGTCCAATTCGTTAATTTTGTTTGATGTGGCAATCAACCTTTATAGTTTACCTTTAAATGTGTGATGTAACACCTAAAAAATAATAAATAAATAAATAAAATTTCAATATTATTGAGAGATAAAGTGTTTAGTGCTATTTATAGAATTTACTTTGGTGGATAATTAATGCGAAACGACTACATATCAATTACTAGATTGTGCAGCTTCCATGAGCGCTTCTTATGCGATCCCTTGTGGGTTGTGGCACTTTTTTGGGTAAAGGAACCGCCTGTACTCGTTCCAATGCGTGTGGGGCGGCAGCAGATAGGGTCTATCAGTAATGAATAGGGACCATAGATTTAAGAGGCAGGCAATTGTGTGGTTGGGCCGGACATTGAGTGGGGAAATGTATTTTTGTCCGTTTATACATTAAATTCTTTATTTTATTTTATTTCGTATTTAATGGCTACACTTTCAAAGAAGGAAAGAGAAATCACTTCTCTGCACCTTTCTATTTTCTTTCTCTCTTCCTTTTTCTCTCCCAATCTCTTTTCTAGATCATCTCTCTTTCTCTCTTCCTTTTTCTCTCTCAATCTCATTTTTAGATCTAAATCTGCTCCCTTCTCTTCTTTAATTTTTTTTTCCATGACGAATAAAAATTGGAGCCACTCTTTTTCAGGAAAAAATCCCACTGTACACATGTTTTTAAAAAAAATTCTCAAAATACACATGTTATGAAAAAAATTCCCAAACTACGCATGTTTGGGTCTTCACCGCGTCAGACTAAGGCGGTGATTGCTTCACCGCGTTAAAGAAGGGCGGTGATGCAATCACCGCGTTAGAGAAAAACGGTGATTGCATCACCGCTGTAGACAAAAACGGTGATAGCTTCACCGCGTTCGACGGCCGCGGTGAAGGCCTGACCTGCATCGAATCTTTAAAAAAACGTAACTTTGTGCTCGGTTATCCGATCGTGATGAAATTTTTTTTGATTCCGCATAATTTTTCGAGATCTTGCAAGCCGCAAACCGTTTGGTCCCGCCTTCGTCCCGAAAAAACGTCGTTTGCTACCCCGAACGAGCCTTTTTTCGATTTCGTCAAACTTTGGACGACCATAACTTTGTGCTCCACAATCCGAAAATCATGAACTTTTTTTTGATTTTGCATAACTTTTTGAGGACTACAATTTTTAGTGGAGAGAATTTTCAAAAAATGAATTATTTTGGATATACAGGGTTTTGAGAATAAGTTTACCTTTCCTTTTTAGGAATCCAAGTACATTCCGAAATTATGTCTATGATAAAAATTGTAGTCCTCAAAAAGTTATGCAAAATCAAAAAAAAATTCATGATTTTCGGATTGTGGAGCACAAAGTTATGGTCGTCCAAAGTTTGACGAAATCGGAAAAAGGCTCGTTCGGGGTAGCAAACGACGTTTTTTCGGGACGAAGGCGGGACCAAACCTCCTACGGCTGTTTGCGGCTTGCAAGATCTCGAAAAATTATGCGGAATCAAAAAAAATTTCATCACGATCTGATAACCGAGCAAAAAGTTACGTTTTTTTAAAGATTTGACGTAGGTCAGACCTTCACCGTTTTCCTCTAACGCGGTGATGCATTCACCGCCTTCCTCTACAGCGGTGATTGCATCACCGTTTTTGTCTAACGCGGTGATGCAATCACCGTTTTCGTCTAACGCGGTGATTCAATCACCGCCTTGGTCAGACGCGGTGAAGGCCCAAACATGCGTAGATTGGGAATTTTTTTCATAACATGTGTATTTTGAGAATTTTTTTTAAAAACATGTGTACAGTGGGATTTTTTCCTCTTTTTCATTGCATTTCTTCTCTTCATCATCCCGTTGGCCTCAAATTCGATCTTTCTCATTTTTTCGGCATTTTGGTGTTCTTGATTGCGGAAGAGGAAATGAGAGGCGACACAAGACGATTTTTTCTCTCTACCTCTTCTGTTTTTTTCTTTTAGATAATATATATTGATATTATAACTCTATACCATATGGTATTCGGTGGTAACGAAATATATATTGATATTACCACATTATACCATATGGTGATGTATGGTATTGTGTGGTAACGAATTATATATTGATTTTACCACACTATACCATATGGTATTTTATGGTATTGTGTGATATTACCACACTATACCATATGGTATTATGTGGTAACGAAATATATATTGATATTACCACACTATACCATATGGTATTGGGTGGTAACGTAATATATATTGATGTGGCAAATTTTTTCATACCATATGGTATGGTCAATACCAGTCAATACCATATGGTATAGACTGGTAATAAATGACAATTTTTTTATGTAAAAAAAATATCAAAGTTGATATCATTTTGAAGAGCACAATTAATCTGATCTAACTGTGCAAAAAAAAAATAAATTCCGACTTAAAACAAGTGAGAAATCGTCCGTTAAAGATTAAGAGAAGGAAAATTAAAGTTTTTTCGATGAGAGAGAAGGCGTTGATGTGATCCGCTCAAAAGTCAGCGTTAGCAACAAATAGAGGTAGGAGCAATTTTACCTTATTGTCCTTTCGCATTTAATTTAAATAAAAAAAAAGAACTGACACGTGACGACAAGATAAGAGGTTACTGATGGGTTGCTGACCTATCAGTTACTGACCTGATCTGGTTCCGTGTGGGACGCTACGAATCTGCATATGGGATAATCATTCCGAGGAATCTGCATATGTCATATTTATTATTGACAAGTATTTATTTTCACATTAATTTATTTGCTCTCGTTTCTCTATCCTCATCTGCTTCTTTCCACTTAAGTTTCAACATGTTTCTCTCTTGCCCCATTTTATCTCTCTTCTTCTGTGTTCTCTTTTTCTCTATTATTTTAGAGTAAAACAAAAGCTCTGATTTATCAGATTCAAAACTTGATTGCTCCCGTCCAAACCCTCTCCATCTCAACGAGCTCTTAATCAATTTGAGTTTCATGGGTTATTTTTTTCGGTATTGAGTTTCTTGGAATAAAAAACAGGAGTTATACGTGCTTCCAAAAATTCCGAGGTACAATAACAGGGGAAGTTCAGACCTTTGAGAGATGAGCCTTATTTTGGGATCATATATTGAAAGCTCTAGATTGAGTTCTAATTCTAAACTGATAAGGGTTGGATCTGAAGCTCGCCCAATTTTTTTTTTTTTTTTTTTTTTTTGACAATCTGAAGCTCGCCCAAGATCTACAATTTCCTTGATTAATCCCCTTTCTAGTCTTTTTTTTTCCAATCCTGTTAACTAGCCAGAATGTCATTAAAAAGCTACCGGAGAAATCAATAGTGTTTCATAAACTCTTGAGACTTCTAAGCTATGATTATTTTCTTTAGATTTTTGTTCAAGATCTCCAATTGAGGAAGGCGAAAAAGTGCAAGGTGTCCCTCTATAATATATAGCAGTTCTTCATGAGTTTTTGAGCATTTCAAATTCTTTACACTCTCTATAATTGTAGCTAGGGGTAAATTTGTAAGTTCAACTTAGAATTTAAATATCTTCTTACGAGAAAAAAATGTCATTACAAAAACTTGAAATCAAGGTCCTTTAGATTGATAGTCAATATCCCTAGCCAAATGGACTACAACAATGTTTATGTATTTTTTGAATTAAAGAGAGAAAATACTGAAATATCTCAAAATCATAGGACTATCCACTGCAATAATCAATCATCGAATTAATTAATAAATGTAATTATTTACAAAGTGAATCATCATGATATACATAGCTTTTTGAATCAATAAGTTCCTCTAATCACACAATTCTTCACCAAGAATCAAATAGTACATTTTGAGTTTATGTATGTCTTACAACTTTTACATTTATTAGGTTACATGACTTTGTAGTTTGTAGGAATACAAGGATTGTTTACAAAAGTGTTATACAAAATTTTATTTCTAAACATAAAATTTGACATTTGTGATCTATGGTTTTGTAACAAGACATTTTCAATGCTATAAGTGAATGACCAAAAATCATTGGCTAGCAATTTCCCTAATGATTGGCAATTATAAGCATAAAATTGAAAGACTAAATGCCATTGACAAATGAGCCAATTATCATTGGTTAAATTTAACAAACAATGGTATGTGTATATACATTGAAAATTCTATGATACGCTCGATGGATTGAGGGTTATTGCATCTCCTTAATTAAATAACATTATTTAGACCATAGATAAATCACGTAACTAAACCCTATATCATAATTCTCTAAATCCTAATATAGTGCGTATGATATGTTGTATCATCGTGGCGAATCAGAATCATTGATTATGTTCTTAGTATATGTGATATTAGGGTTTAAGGTTCTATAGATTTAGGGTATATGATTTAATTATTTGAAACTTAATCTCCCTTTTCAAATTTCTTGCAACGAGAGGGAAATTAGGAAGGACATTTTGTCTTCACAATTATCTGTATTTTTTATTTACTTACAGAAAAAGATAGACATATTGAGATTTGACCTATGGTCGCTTCAAACAAAGTGAAGATTTAAAATCAATCAGACTATGTAGATTTGTTGTAATTTTTTTAAATTAAAAATATATACGAAGCTAAAATATGAAATCACATAACTTTTCAACAGTTAGCTAGCCCAATAAATATTCTGTAAGTACTTATTTCGTGTTTTGATACTTCGATTTTGATATTTTTTATTTTAATTATAGTTTAATACTTAATTTAAAATTTTATCTATCTTATAAATAGACGATAACCATAAATTTGCAATTTCAAAATATTGTTGGTTCGAATATTTCATATCGAATTATAGTATTGAATATGTAGAAGTAATATATAATTCTTAAATTACCATTAATTTCCATAACTATAGTGAAGCAATCATATCTTTGTGCAAACTATAGAGGACTGGTTCTCTGAACATTTTTGTCCGGTTAAATACTAATTTTTGAAACTCTTCTTAGGGGTGTACGTGGGTTGGTTCGTTTGGGTTTAGATATTGTAATAACATAACTCATATACCACGATTTTGAAAACACTAAATACAAACTCACCCAAATAATTTAGAATTTTAATGGGTTGTGTCCTCCATACCAAATGAATCAGTTTACATGTCGCTTAACTAAGGACGATCTCATTGTCCAATTCCATCATTCTAATGTCAATCCATAAAAGTAAACAATATTCGCGTTTGTTAACACATGTTTCACATTGTCATGACTGTGATCGGTAACTTCGTTGCAACTGATTCAGTATTGCTCATCATATGGCTCCAAACTGATAAACATATCGGCCCAGCAGTTTTATGACAAAACTCAAAGTGAAGACAACTCAACGTCTGGTGGAATTTTGGCGCTTGCTGGTGTTCATTAATCTAATTCCAAGCATAATGATTGCTAAAATTAAGCTTTCACGCAACACACTGGGAGTTGGGGTTGTGAACTTGGAGTAAAAGTTGATATTGGATTTGGGAAGGGAAGTGGTGAGAGGAA